CACTACGATGACGACAACAGCGAATTTGTACCTTACCATTTGTCTAGGATATAACACCTTTGTCCGGCACCTCCTCGATTTTTTTCAAAAGAGGCCTGGATAGATCAACTCAGTAATGTAACGAGGCTTGGGCACGAATACACCCTTTCCGAAATTTCAAACTCAACATACGCATCTAATCGCAACAACCGAACTACACACGTCGCGTGAAAATCAAGATCAGTGACCAGGTTTGAGCTGGATGATTTATCTTTAAGATAATTAAATATGACAATTTAACCAGGTTTTGCAAACAAAATCGAACGAAATCAAATGATATTACGTTGCTTCTTCCAGTTGTATTTTGATCCTGTTTTAAATATTTATCATTGAATATATAATAATAATATAATAGAACCTGGGATTCATTCAAACTCAAACTCCACGGTGGTGCCATCTACATAATGATAAGCCTCTACTATCGATGATCTTTTAAACCTAGAGACAAAAAAGCTATGAAAAAGCACTTATGCCTTCATTAAATTCTACTTTTACGCGACGTTCGTTGTTTCGTTTTGGTCCTTACGTAAGACGGGAACAGAATCCATAAAACTTTTACATTTTTGGACTACCGTGCCCCTTTCTTTACGCTTCCCGATTTTACCAGCGTACACATATTGCACATGTTTTAAGCTATCTCGACCGAACTCTTTTGTGTTTTAAAACGACTGTTTTCTCATTCATATTTCGTCGTCAAAACCACCAAACCCCACAATCAAACACGACCCGCCGTGACTACCGTCAGTTTTCAACCACAGCTCTCATGATCATGCATGTTAAGGGCACACCTAACAACACAACAAAAACTAATCGGTCAAGTACCAAGCTTGCATGTTCGATCGCGACATTTATTTTCTTAACGAATCATGCATCAACTTGAAAAAAAAAAACATAACGGATTATTCGTAGACATCTAACCGTAAAAACTCGAGGAACATGCTTCATGCGATCGAGGTCATCCCTCTGACAAATGGGAACGATGAAAATAAATCTCGATTACTCCTCCGAAGGGACGCATCCGCTCCCGCAAACAATGTATCCGGGAGCGACCGGCATCCCGCCCACGCATTTCAACACCACCATCAGATAGGGAAAGCGCGGGCGAGCTTCTAGCCACATCAAACCGACCATCAAACGCACTGCCCACAAAAGCAGACACGTCCCCTCGAAAATGCAATCCAGAAATGTATAAGAATAATCTTCAACTGGAACGTACTCCCAAATCAATATATCCGGGTGCGCATTCCCGATGCTTATTTTTCTCTAGTCATTTTTAAACAATTCCTTCTCCAGCGATTCAAACCGCACAATAACTAAATATCAGTTTTCTTTTTCAAATTACTCTGTGCACAAAAGCAATGGTTATCGCAAAAACCTAATAATAGATCAGCGCGGTCGAGTCACACCGGCAACAAAGGATAGCGAGAGCACACCAGGCACCTAAGCAACAGGGGGGAAAACAGCACAAACCATTCTAAATCAAATTATCGCGCCCGGGACACAAAACTAAACTATTCAAATGCGAGCACCGAAAAACTACACGCCCCAGCACAAAGATAGCCCGAGCTCTAAAAAATTTCCTCGCACCTTCTTTTTGAATGAAAAATATCCCGGTTAAAAATAAGATTCAATATCTTGGAAATATTAAAGAACCTTAAACTGGACTGCACTTTTTTTCATTTTGAAGCATAATTGAAATAATTTGGATGTACTTTTCAAAAGAAGATATTTAACCCTTTCCCGCCCAGAGTTTTTTGGTATCAATTTTAAAAAGCATTAACTCTGATGTGTCTGAAGATATTGGTCTGAACTTTCTTCCGATAATAGAAGCACTCAACTAGTACAGACTATGTTGTTATATTTTTACAAACATCGGTTACAGCTCACAATATCAAAAAAGCATGTTGCTCCAGAGTAATCATGGGCGGGAAAGAGTTCCAGAGCAAATTGTGATTAGGGCGAAACTAGCAAAATGTAAAAAAAATCGAGCAAGTTTACACGGATTACTTTAAATATTAATGGATGGTGTAGCACCCTCCCCTTGGCTAGTTTTTAACCTGGACGTTGGTGGGCGGATTGAAAAAAATTGGATTTCTAAGAAGAACTATAAGGCAATTTTTGGAGAATTCTCGCGTCACTTTTCAAATAGACCAATGTAACATATCCACCATTTTAAGAAAACCGAAGTTGAAGTTCGACAGATTATTATTTTAACTGTTTAAAAACAATACATTTTGCAATACTATTTTTAATGTAGTCAGTGTATAATAACGTTGAAAATTCAAAAGAAACGGTAAAATCACAATTTTACTTTGAATTTCATGCTACAACATAGAAAAAACCACATAGGACGTTTTGAAAAGTCGAGTTGTACATCGGACATGTAACATTGGACGATTTTTCTCAATGATATAATCAATGAATGTTACATTGGACGTTTTGTCTACATGATACTAGATTCCCTTTCACAGATTTCAGAGTATAGTACCTAACTTTAGATTGGCCCCGCCTTTGGAAAATGAGCACCAATCATTTAAGGCAGTCCGAATGACCGAAGTAACAATCATGTACCCATCATTTCAAACTGTACATTGGACAACTTTTGATCAATGATTATCTTAAATAAATGAAAGTAAATTTGGATGGATGTTTTTGTATCACATACAATGATAGAAGAGCAATAGTTTGTATCGCTTAACTCGATTTGTTTACATTTGTTACATTGGTCTATTTGAAAAGTGACGCGAGAATTCCAATTAGGTGTTTCTTACTGCTTCTGACAGCCAAGGTTCCAATTGCAAGCGGGAATGTTTTGATCATGGCTGTGGGTTGTTGATAATAGTTGCGGTTGTAGTGCGCTTTTGATGCAGTATGGCTCTACCCTGATGCCAATGACCGTTTATAGAATTATAGAATGTGATACATCTAGATAGAGCTGGAATTAGGGCGTAACAGCTTTTGTAAACAGATCTTTCGATGATTTCTAGAAAGCCAAGAAACACCAACACAAATAAAAAAAAACCGTTTGAGTACGAAATGGTGAATCATGGAGAAACATGCCTTCTCGTTTCATGAGCTGTACTTCAATGGAATACAGTTGAAGAACAGTTCATGTTCAAATGAAAGGAAGTACCCCATCCACATTTTTCCCCTTCTTTTATCATGAGCTGTTCATTCGTTTTCCGTTGAAGAATCAGGTCTGCAAATAAGTGAAGTTTGGGAAAAAAAAGTGAACCCCGACAAAATTAAAGAAGTAATTATAGTTTGAGGTTAGGTTGGCTAGAAAAATGTTGATGAGTTTGAGGTGAAAGTTATGTCGTTTTCGTTTTGGCGGTGTAATACACCAAAAGTGTCAGCGCCAAGAAGCGCGAGTCATTGATTGCTCAACATATTTATTAGTAAACAAAGGTGCAATTGTTTCTACACTCTGAATTATTTCGGTGTACGGTGGTGTAGCATCGATGTAAGTTACACCACATAAACAAAAACGACATTAGTCTTTTTTTTCTGTTAGGGTGGGGCTTCATTAAAAAAAAAAGTGTTAGATGTCTTATAGGCTACCCTCCAGTTTGATTCATAACCCAGTGTGGCCAGAAAACCGAGAAGAAAATAACCGGGAACTTGATAAGCAATTGGAAAATCTGGGAGAAACTCGGAAATTTAATGGAAGATCCGGGAAAAATCAATAAACATCACCATTTTGAGCCAGATTTTCTGAATAAATTAATGCAATGGAGCGCGTCTGTAACTAAAGGGGGGTTCCGGGTAATTTGGTCGAATGCCATTTGACCAAATGGGTCGTTTGGCCGAATGCCGAATAACAAAACTCCAAGGAACTGCTTATGTTAATGTTTAAAAAAAGTAAAAATCTCTTAAAATTGTTAAAATTTTTAATTTAATTAAATTTGAGAACAACCTGAGTTTACTATGCAAAAAATAATAAGGTCATCAAAATTCCAAAGAACTGCTCATGTTAAAAAAGGTGGCTAAAAAAATACCAAGTACATATCGAAAAGTTTATCTTTGAAAGAATAATGAATCCATCGACAATATAAAATTTCAGTTTTATACAACATACAATTTAACAAAAAATCCCATATTTATAATTTTATAAACAGAATTGTGGAAATTAAAAAAAAAAGTTCACAGGGCTGCCATTTAGGAATCTAGTAGTGTTCAAAAATTGGAAATCTCCTTCAAGTATTCGGCCAAACGACCCATTCGGCCAAATGTCATTCAACCAAACGGCCGGACACCGACTAGGCATTCTTAGGCCCTCTGGTCCCTTTTAGCACCCACATTTGAAAAACAAATTCCTTGGAAGATTCAGTGCAGGACGCTATCCTTTAATTGACCCACTTTTTTGTGTATCATTTGCTGGCCACTTGCTGAAATCCATATCAAACCCATACAAAGCGTGTAACCATTTTGCCAATCACGCGGTTGGTATTTAGTCTAGTCTACGTAACGCACCGACATCGCCGCGCTTCCATCCACCACTTTCCCTGTGTCATTGTTAAACTCTTCTACATATTACGGACTGACTGAGATACTTGTAGTTGGCTGGTGTTCCTAACACGGTTAAATTTAGATTAGTCACCCGTGCGGCTAATACGTGCGACATTAGTTGCTTCTGAGAGCGGTACCGTCGAACATCTTACATTTGCCTGAAGTGTGCTGATCGTGGTTCTATTTCCCACTAGAAACTTGTGATTTGTGTGATCTGCTTCGCTATCACTCCCTCCCTGCATTGACAGTCCGTTCTCGAGAATCTCTCGGCTAACTTTCGTAGTCGGTCTTATCGTCTTCATAGTTTGTTTTGGCTTAGATTTCGTCTACATAGGAGGAAGCGTGAAATCATATCGCACCATGTGTGTTGGCGGGGTACTTTCGAAACATACTATCACTGATGCTTGTGATACATTAGTAAACGGTTTTGGCTTTTACCTCTTTCTTTACAGTGACATAGGGGCGAAGTGCTAATAGTCACAAGCTAATTGTACCCCTCTCCACGACGTGATCTCGGTTCTGGGGAATCGGAATCTTCCAGAACCGAGATATTATCCCGGTCCCAATTGAGCATAAGCAACATTGTACCAGTGGAGAAGAGGCCTAACTCAATTGCATACGCCATGGAGTCTAGAATATTGAATGCAGCGGCTGCGAGGGCAGCACCCACCTCTGCACATTTTATCGGAGCCAAAGGGAATCACGCTTACATCGGCGGATTCCAGCAGTTCACTACTAACGAAAAGTGAGTAAATTGATTCGGTTGGTCTGATAGGAAGGAGAGTGTTTATCTTGTGTATGGAAAATAATGTTTAGAACAATTTGCAGTCTCCAATACAACATACCGGCTATTGGACACCACTATGGGAACGCATTCGCTCCGGATGACGAGGAGGATGACGATGACGATGAGGAAGAGGACTGTAGTGGTTTAGTACCTGGTGCCCTAGATGCTTATAGCCAATCATCAATGAATATGGTCAGCACGACCGATGGGGAGTTTTACGATGACGAGGAGGAAGAAATCGATGTAAGTTTTGGGTGGATCTCTTGTTGTGTAGGGAACGGTGGTGATGACGATCTTTATCCCTGTAGGAGGACGTCGAAATGTCGCCAGCAATCGAGGTGATCTCGATCGATCCAAACTGTGACTATGATTCGGATGAAGAGGAGGAACAAGAAATAGATGAAACAATAGAAGTAGTAGAAGAACATCCGGCTGTAGCGGGTCAGGAGATTGTAGTCAATCAAGCTCCAGTACCGGAGCTACAGCCAAGAATAGAAGAACAAAGCATTATGGAACCGTTAATTGTACAGGAAACTGTCGTTGAAGAAGTGTGCGCTCAAGTAGAGTTAGAACGAGATGTGATAGAAGGTTTGGAAAGTGATGACATTGAACCGGAGTTGGAGAACATTCATCGCGATTCGGAAGAAGGGGGTTCGGATAACGATAGCAGTAGCGATAGTGATAGTAGTAGTGACAGCAGCAGTGATAGCGATAGCAGCAGAAATAGTCGTAGCAGAAGCAGAAGTAGAAGCAGTTCATCCAGCTCCAGTAGCAATAGGTCAACGTCCACAGCATCCAGTCATCCAAGTGACTTTGTGCATCGATCTGATGCAGAGCAGGATGCAAACGCAGAGCAGCAGGAAAATTTAGCAAAGGTGATAGAACGCCGCAAATTGATGGCGATTGAACGTCGAAAACGTACCACTAGCATAAATAGGAAGTCGTTTTCTTTGCCGCACTCGCCGATTGCCGGAGTGAGTGGCAGTGTATTGCATGACATGACAAGTTTAAGTTTTGATGATCTGGATGTATCGGCTATAGCGAACGATCTAAGCCCATTGAAAATCCCGGTACGTGCCAGTGAATCCGATGAAAAGTTGGTGCAAGAGTTATCTGAAAGCAACTTCGATCTGGCCGCGTACATTACAGAGGATGACTTCGTTACAACGGACTCTGAGAAGCGAGATACCCAGAACCAAAAACAACCAAAGGCATCTCCCGTGAAGAAAGCTCCAAAATCTCGTGGAAAACAGTTAAAGATGTTGCGGGAGCTGATGATTTCGCCCAAGTCCAACAATGACGAGTCCGGGTTCTCACGAAGGACCTGCACAAACAAAACGCGCCGAATAGTAGAAGAAAGTGGCTCGGAATCGGAAGACTCTGAGTCCGAAAGTGACACTAGAACTTGCGTGAAGATTTTCGGAATCGAACGAATGATCGGCAAACCAAAGCGAAAGGAAGATGATACGAAAGCGGATCCTACATGGAATCCGAACGGAACGGTCCCTGCCAAGCCAGCTCAACGAATAGTCCCAAGTCAGAAAATGGGAACACCGCCAGCGGTTGTACCGATTCAACAGATAGGCAAACGAGATATCAGTGATATGAAACCCCAGTCGGCACCAGCCAAAGCCAGTGAACCCACAAAACCTGTAAATAATTCAAACATCAAAAATAAACTGCTTAGCGCTGGATCGCAATTAGCACGTAACAAAATGCTTTCCCTGATGGCAAAAAACAAGCCACCTTTGCAAGCAATCAAACAACATTCAAAATCAACCGGAAGAGTAAGTAACACTAACAGCAGTAGCCAGCTGAAATCGGCAGAGCAGCCGAAAAAGAAGCCAACAATTGTAAAAAACAACGTAAAACTTGACCATGATTACTGTTCACCGAAGAAAGGTTCCGGCCAAAATCCGCTGGCGCCAGTGCCACAGCGGAAAGCGATAGAAATTCCGTTCCTTTTGCCTACCATGGATCAGCTGCGTCAGAAGAAGCTCTCGAAGAACAAAAAACGTCTGGAAGCCACCAGCAAGAAAGTCAAAACGGGTGTCGACTGTGATAAAAAGGAACCTACTAAGCCTAGCAGCATACAGCGGAGTAGTAATGAACACAAAAGCATTGCAGCTTCGGTTCCGGTTCCGGTTTCGGTTGTGAAGCAGGAAGTAATCTCGGTCAAGGAAGAGCCCAAAGAACGGATAGAAGTCAACACGAATAGATTGCCACCACCTGCGCAAAGTCAACCGAAGCAAATTTCCTTATTAAAGATAAATCAAAATAAGCCCAATGGTGTGCAATCGGCTCCTGTGGTCGAACGCAGCATCAAGTTGGAACCGTCTGACGAGAAACCCAAGTCTGAAGCAATCAATGCAACCAATAGCAGTAGTAATGAATCTATGGTTAAAGTTAAGAAGAAATTAAACCTTCAGGAATACAAGAAACGTCGTGAGCATCCATCTGATGAAGTGACGATGCCCGTGATCGCAACTGAAAGCAGCAGTAAAAGTAGCATCACCAGCTGTACTTCCACCGTGAGCGCAACTAGCAGCAAGGAAGAGTTATCTAGCTCATCGGCGGAGCAAACTGTTGCACAACCAGAACCGCAAAAACAATCAGGCTGTAAAGCCGCACCTTTGGATCCAATTTCGGCAGCAAAGTTGAAGGCACTGCGAATGCAGCAACTCAAAAAGGAAGCCGCCATCAAGTCAACCGAAGCAAATATCATCCCAAAGACTGTCCCGCATATCGTTCCACTGGCTGAAATCACATCGATAAAATTCGACGAGCATGGAAACCCCATGCCGTACGACAAGAACGCCGAACAGGATGCCAGTGAGTGGAAACTGCACAAGGATTTCGAAGAAATTGTTATCGTTTCTATGGGTTGCAACACGGAGATTACGATTAACCCACATGAAATGAATCGAGAAATGGTTAAACCGGAACAACAAGATAAAAACATTCCGAAGAATGAACTGCTGTCTAACATTACCGATACGATCAAACGGTGCCAATCGTCGGCGACGGCAATCATTTCCAGCAGTTCGTTGATATCCAGCATCCACGAGGTGGTGATCCGGAAGAAATGCAAAAAGACTGATACGAATGAAGCCCTAACGGCGACTTTGACTGAGAAACGTGCGGTTGGTGGCGGACAAGCCAATCAGCAAGGATCCCCGAACGTTGGCGTATCTCCACCCAATGCATTCTCTCCGGGCAAGCCGGAAAAAGCAGGCGGAACATACGACCAGTCGCCTTCGTTCGACTATGACGAAGGACAGTTGCAGCAGACGGTCGGAAAGGTCAAACCGGTCGATCATGGCGAAGACAAAATCATTATGCATTTACGAAAGGATCGACAACGGTTTAAAGGGGTTTCGATAGCCATTCAGACTGTGTCGTTAGATCGCTTCCCGGAACTGAAACGATTCTCTCCCGTCAAGAAGGAACGAACCGTATCACGAAGTAGCTGTGGATCAGCTGCTCGTAGCCGCAGCCGCCAAAGTGCCGGTAGAAGTCGGGATCGTTCACGTCGACAATACCGAAGACGCCGGAGTCGTAGTTCTTCATCGGAACCTGAAATCCGTACCAGGTCTTCCAGCTCCTTCCGAAGTAGCAAGCAGCGACCGTCTTCCAGAAGAAGTCGCAGTCGGTGCAGTAGTTCTAGACGTAGATCACGATCCCGGTCTCGGTCCAGGTCCAGATCCTACAGACGCCGTAGCCGTAGCAATTCACATCGCCGGAGATCGAGCGTGTCTTCCGAGCGACGTCGCTACTATGAAAGAGACTATTCGCGACGCGGTCGCAGCAGTAGAAGGCGAAGATCAAGAAGCACTTCGTCGCACTATTCTAGCAGCAGTAGCTATAGCTCACGATCACGGTCGCGATCGGTATCGCGGTCGAGTAGATCACGCTCACGCTCTATGTCACGTCCTTCGTCCCGGGTGAGGAATTTATCCCGTACTGAGTTCCGCCGTCCAGCACAGTCACCAGGTACGTTGCCGGGAAATTAAACCAACACAAAACTGTTTATTTACGTTAGCTTTTTCATTCGCTGTAGAGAGGAAAATAGTCTACGTGGGACGTTTGGAACCAGCGCTGAAAAGGGAAGATCTTAAGCGAAAGTTCGTCCAATATGGACGCATCAAGCAAGTGACATTGCACTACAAGGAATCCGGGTAAGTGTTTCTCGGTTTCGACTGGAACTAATTTCGGTTGATTTTAACGAAATGATTCTGTTGTGCAGGGCAAAGTATGGATTCGTAACGTTCGAGAAGCCCCAGGATGCATACAAAGCCATCGATTGCAGTTCGAAGGATCCTATCCTGAGCGAGTACGACGTCAGTTTTGGAGGTAGACGGGCTTTCTGTCGCACGGAGTATGCTGATCTTGGTATGTATGGTGCCTTTTTTTCTGTGACCATTCTTTGTCATTTTTGCATTAATTCATTTCCTTACCATGAAGACCGCGAGCCTCAAGTAAAACCTTCCAGAGCGGTTTCTCTGCGCAAGAAAGTCCTCAAGAAAATGCTTTTCAGAGGTTTCCAATGCACCCCGAACCGCAAAGCTACCAACCCAACTAACTATATTTTATCTTTTATTCCTATCAAATTCTTTGAATCATCTCCCATCAGATGGCGACTTATCGCATGTTCAAGAAGGCGTTCCGTATATCGCACCGAATGGATCACTGCTGATGGCTCCAAATCCGATAATCACCCAGCCGCGCAAGGACGAGGGCGATTCCTTCGAGGAACTACTCAAAAAACTGAAAAAGGAAATCAGTGCCAAAAAGCCACGCAAGTCTTGACCACAAGTGGCGATTGCTTTATGACGCGTACCTGCTTTTGGCCGCTGGTATTCCTCACTTCAAAGGGTGTTGTACTGCCTCCACCACCGAATTTGACAAACCTTCAAGAACATTTGTCTTCATTTCATATTGTCCACCCGGCGCTACTTCAAACTTTCTTACGGGTTTATTGTTTAAACTTTATTCTAAACAAACGCAATCAGGTTTGGCCGGTTTCTCTTAGCTTACTCGCAACATTGAAATTTTAGCTATCGGTTTCTTATTTTGTTTTTGTTCGTGTGCAATTCAACGTAATTTTACACCTCAAGATTTCGATTGTGCTCTAATTGCAAAATATTTGATTTATGCTACCATCAACGGTGCCATTGGGAAATGATATTTGTAATATATAGTAAATCAAATACTAATTTTATAGAGATTCAGCAGACAATTGAACATCATTTGTTTTCTTTTGTTGTTGATTTTAGTGCACGGAAGTGTTATCAAGGTTACGTTGAAATAAGCGATGCAGCTATCACTTTCAAACACGATACGAAAAAACGAAAAAAGTAGCCTTCCCGAGGTAGGATACGGCACGTTATTCTTTAAAGTTGTTCTATGTTCTTCGGAAATATTAAATTAAAAGTATAACCTTCCTGTTTAGAAGTGCTAGATAGGGTCTACAAAAAAAGGCTTTATGTAAAACATTGAAGCATTAGCGATGTATAATTCCTGTTCCCTACTTTAATTTGTTCATGATTGAAAATAAACTGTTATCGAAAATATCTTCCAACGAAACTGCTCACTCTTACATTAACAATTTGTTCAAGATACAACCGAATGGTAGTGAAAACCAAAAGTCTATAATTTAAACGTTAATTTACCGGTTTTACATAAACATACTCGTTTCGTTCTTTTAACCTAACAACTTAAACAAGAATGGAGAAGACACTGATTATTCACTAAAATGGAACATGTAAACGATGAAACATTAAAATCTGTGATTTTTGACTATGTAATAAAAGGAATGTGTTTCATATGCCCTGATTTGATTTTTGTCAAACAAATATTTACTTTTGAAAATTTTAGGTTAGGATTCAAAGGCAGAAACTACACACGGTTTTCGTCTTGTTTAATCGATAATATGATAATTATGCATAAAATAGCCGCAGATTAGTTTTGTTAAGTCCAAATCCCCCCATGTTAGTCGATTAGTTGTTTCTTCTAACCATTACTTCCATACCTAGCTTATAGTTTGAATATTGACCTAGGAACCTTTATTTCAATACTGCTCGCTGTTTTTGTTAAATAAAACTTTGAAAAGGGACGAAATTTGGTTTGTTTGTTAGTCATCCGAAATGTTACCATTTTTCAGCACTTCCATATTACCCCCAGAGTACCGGAGATGATTTGTTCTCATTCGGTGCCAAATTACGCTCCTGCTGATTTTTTTTTTCCTTTGGTTTGTTTTTTTCCGTTGATCTTGTTTTCCGTGCTGAGCACCAATGCTACCGACGTGCCAGGAAGGGACCCTACCACCTATCGACCCATCAACTCATGAACCGGGGACCAACGGCTTTACTTCCCATCCGAAGGAAGGCGTGATCAGAGATGTTATGCCTCAGAACATCCCGGCGGCGCCGACTGGGATTGAACCCAGGCCTGCTGGGGTGAGAGGTAATCACGCTTACCACTACACCACCGGCGCCGTTAGGTCCTGTTGAATTTAAAATGAATCAAATTAATGATCTCTTTTCTCACCAAGCCTATGCGGCTGGCTGTCATGTGAAGTGACTCCGTGCAAATCAAATGGAGAGTCACCTCACTACTAGTGACAGAGAGTCACACTACTCGCAGAATAGGCATAGCAGACGTTTATCTTTAGAGAGAAATCAGGAAGCGAAAAATTAAAAGAAACCACGGAATTGCTGTTGCATAGGAAAACATGATGGAGCATAAGTATGTTCGGAGGTTACATACAACTGTCAAAGGATTACGGACGGAGTAAAGCATTGGTAAAGTTGAACAAGATCCCACCATTTGCAGTGCAGTGAGTATGAGAGACTATGATGGAAGGAGCTTTTTATGTATATTTCTACAAACAAAATTTGTAATGAGAGGATTGTGGTTGTCGTCACAGGGTGGCAACTCTACTCGTTCCGTTACCTCAGGTCACTCATAGACAGATTAAATTCTCTTTCGGTTTTCCTAAACAATCTGCTCTAATATATTAAGAAATCGTGGAACAGAATGGCCTTTCAATCTGACTCATATTTGAGTTCCGTTTGAGTAGGTCACTCATAGACCGAATAAAATTTTCCTTGATTTTCCAAGAAAAACTTGGAATACATATGAGGAAAAGCTTGAAGCAGGCTAGCCGAGTGTAGAACATGAAGCTTGATTCGGAGATAAAACAAATTAGTTCCCAAGCGTTCAGTTTTGATCCGTGTGTACTACAAGGTCTGTAGTAGCATTATCGCCGTTTATGTGGATGATTTCCTGATTTTTTTTACAATCTGCCCCAGAGGGTACAAATCGTCCACATTGTTCATTGCAATACTGTACCGACCCCAGCTGAAATTGAACCTATGTCTGACTGAAGATATGAGCAGGAAGAATTGGCAGGAGAAGCAAAGGATGCGGAACATTCCCTTCCGGGAGCTGGTTGGAGGATTGCAGTTTCTGGCGCAGTGCACTCGTCATGACATCGCCAATGCTGTCTGCGTTACACAGTAGCAACCCCGGAGAAGCAAAGTGGATAGTGCGTTTCCTTAAAGGAACAAAATCGGTCAAAATGATCTACATGACACAACGTGATGTAGATTTTCATTAGTTTTCCATTAAAATTCATTGGGTGTCTCAAGTTAGGCAGAAAATACATAACGCAGAATTCTTCTTCTTCTAAATTCCTTTATTTAACTTCGGTCTCTGTTCCGTAATCGAGTGTCAATCTCCGACGAGCCTCGATCGCCATCCATTGTCACACCTGGGTAGATATCGCACCCATGCACAGTGGTCTAAAAGTGCCAAAACGTGCGTTTTTTAGTTTATTCGAAATCTGTCCATTACCGTCTTCGGAAAAGTTTGTGCACTTAAAAAGTCCCTTCTTTTGAGCTTAGCCATTTCATGATGAATCCACCTAGCAAGGAGATGAAAAATTTACTTTTTTTTTTGTCGATAGCAAAATTTTCAGATATATGTAGTAATCATTTAAGGTAGTAATGTTGTTTTTAATGTTCATAAAAAAACAGTAGCACAATTATACGGGAAGTCGTGAACCTATAGTTTGATAATAAGCAGATCAGCAGATAATACTAAAGAAGACTAATGATTTGGTATGCATTGGGCAGCATTTTAAGTATACTTTCAAATGTAATCAACGTGGTTTGCCCAATTTTGCCCGATGTTAAGCTATTGGCCTTGGAAATAGTGCTAATTTTGGATCAAAACCTTGAATATCTCAAGAAATATTGAAGATAAGGACTTGCTTCCTAAGACAAAATTGCATATTTAAAAAAAAAAAACAACATTAGTGTAGAATATACTAATGTCGAAAAATTACTTCCTGAAAAGTTATTTGCAAAAATTGATTTTCTGAAGGCTCATACCAAAAAAATGACATATCTCTGTAAACATAAGAGATAGAGGGTTGACGTCTTCAGCAACAATGTTTGTTTTAATTATGTCTAAAACTTTGCTCAAGACACCATTTTGCTATCTCGACAAACAAAAAAAAGTAAATTTTTCATCTCCCTGCTGGGTGGATTAATGGCTTAAATGGACCGTTTTTACATAAACAAAAAAAACGCACGTTTTGGAACTTTTAGACCACTGTGCCACGGCTCAATGAGGTACAGAGAGAGGTGTAGCAGATCGTGAAATATGGTTGTATTAGTAAACCAAAAAATCAACGTTAATGCAAGTAGTGACGTCACTAATTGCTTGTATCGTACAGGAGTTTTACTCACACAACTTAACCGATTGCTTCACCTCGGTAATCCAGCTCATTGCCAACGGCTTACTTTCCTTCCGAAGGAAGAAGCTACCAGAGATTGTTATGCTTCACCTCGACCTTCGATTTCGGATGGGTTTGAACCCAGACTCTGGGGTGAGAAGCAGCTTACCACTACACCACCGGCACCGGCTAAGGCAGAATTCAAAGGTCTGACACAAAAGGCATAATCCCATAGCCGCCACGCCAAATGAGGAATCGGAAAAACTTGACGTTCTTCGCTTTGCATAAAACTTTGCATAATTATTGCGAGATAGCCGCGAGTAATCGGCCCCGCTTTACTAACGTTAGTTTGAAGTAATTTTGTAATCTAAACAATTAATATCGGCTCCGCAAAGCTACAGCAAATGAGCCTGGAAAAATAATCGCATTGTAAAAAAAAATTATGGTCATGTGAGAATTCTTTTACACAGAATTGATTGAATGGTTGTATTGGTTCATCTTCAATCGAATGATATGGAAATTTACAGCACTGGTTATAGGCAATCGTTCACATTGCAGGCATCCCTAATAAAAAATATCATACCCGAACGAGTATATGGTTGTAAACACTTCTAAATTTGAATTTTCATGAGATTGCAGATATACTTTTTTGAGATGTTTCAGTTTTAAACACTTTTTTGTATTTTTACTCCAACTTACCATAAAAAAATTACCGTTTATATTTTCCTGAGAAATACTTTACTTTCCTAAACAACTTTGTCTCAGACGTCATTTCGATCAAAAGTGACGTTTTAGTGCTACAATTTATTGAAAAATGTCAGAAGCCATTTTGAAAAAAAAAATACAAGATCTAAAATGGCCAAATTTTGGCAAAAATGTGAATGATTGCCCATAACACATAGTTATGAAAAGTTTCATGTAAATCCAGAATCGGAGAAGGTCAAGTCTTGAATTTTTATATTTTTATCCTATTTGGCCTGGAACTGGTCAGGTACGATATTCTACCCAGGTGTGAAGCTGCCTGCCTGCACATTCGATTGTCGTCAATAGATGTCCGTCAGTGATTGTCACTAGAACAGAGACCGACGTTAAATATGGACTCACAGACCTGTTGGAAGAAAAGGAAGAGACAGTTTGATGAAAATTTTACTCAGTCAGTTAACTTTTCTCATATTCGGGAATTTTATCTTGGGCAAACCGGGAAAAACACTACACGGATAGAAATCTCCTTATACCTTTTGGCAAATTTCTATTGCTGATTATTCATAAATTATATACCTAAGTCAACTAATAAGCAGAATAAAATAATTGATTTCCGTTTCGTGTAGGCACATTTACTTATCGCTGAGTTCCTGCACTTTATGTGATTATGAGTAAGGTGAACTCAAATTTGAATCGTTCTTATTTGCCGTATAGCATTTATAAACATAAGGGCCTAACTACGATAATCGATTCCAGTGCTGGAAAAATATCAAAAAATCAAATCAAATTTTCGAAGACAAAAATACACAAGCAAACGACTGCGGTTGATATTGCAAGCTGTGATAGCATGGGGTTGACATTGCAAGCATCTCACCAAACTGTGGTGAGATTGAGTTTCATGATTTTTTCTCTACACCCGAACGTAACCGAAATTTCAATAACGCCTTGCAGCTGTTGCTTCGTGTCTGCCATCGGTAAAGAGAAAAAAGAGATAGCATTATCACAGACAAACAGACATAACACATTGAATATTTCTCACTGTAAAACATCGTCGCTAAAATATTACTGCCATCTGTTGAGTACACTGTGGTGGGCACTACGCTGAACAGATGGCGGTAGTGTGTAAACGTCAAACGCGCCCCAGTTGGCGGTACTACCAACTACGATACCTTTAAATAGTCCGTTAAATGCTTGTTCGATGAACAAATTGCGAGTGTTATGTCTGTTTATCTGTGGCATTATTATATACCTTCTCTTTCTAAGAAAACGAGGAGCCATTGAGTCATTTTTGCGACGATTCAACTCTCAGCTTCAACATTACACGTTCTGAATTGTCTATTAATGTTTTGGAGCTTGTAATATCAATTTCAAGGAATTTTGCTCCGATATCACGCGTTACATTATTGAGGGTGTATGAGAGCGGAAAAATATCAATTTGTTAATGGTTATGGCACAGACAAACAGACATAACACTCGCAAATCGTTCATCGAACAAGCATTTAACGGTCAAATTAAAAGTTTAGTAGTTGGTAGTACCGCCACCTGTGGCGCGCATAGTCATTTCCCTTGGGTTTGACGTTTACACACTACCGCCATCTGTTCAGCGTACTACCCACCACAGTGTACTCAACAGATGGCGGTAATGTTTTAGGACGATGTTTTTCAG